CTATCAAGGTGAGTGTTGATTTTTATGCCTTTTCTTGACCCTGTCTAGCAACTTTCTGTTACCTAGCAAAATATTGAAGACTGCTGCTTACATCCACATTGCAGTGACACAAGTGCAGAATACAAGATGGTCAACCTTTCTACCTTAGTTAAAATAGCTTTTGTAAACCTTTGGTTTACAGCCTGGTGCCTTAACCACTAAATCAAACTGGCTCTAAGAAAGAATTTTGAAATTTCTTTTCTCTTTTCTTTCTTTCTTTCTTATAGTTGTCTTTTATTCCATTTCTGTTGCATTATATTCTTTTATTGTATCTTGTTCCATTTTTCCCTTTCTGCAGTTTTTCTTTGCTTTCACCTTTCCCAACTTTAGAGCCTTTTCCAGAGTGCTGGGTAAGAATTTGAACCTGGAAGAACTGCTCCTAAAATCCTTTCCCAAGACTGTGTTAGCCTTAGATCAACAGAAAGCTTCTGTATTTTGGCATGATAAATTTCTATCCCCAAAGCTGGTTTCGATCCCTTTCTGTGGGTCCATTTACATTAATTGGATAATATCTGTTTAATAGAGGGGGGGGATATTATTTTATCCTTGGTTCAGTGAAGGACAACCTAAGATAATTTACTTATGAGCTTGGGATGAGATGGCAGAAAAGCAGTGGTAGGATTCAATTTTTTTTACTACCGGTTCTGTGGGCGTGGCTTGGTGGGGATGGCAGGGGAAGGGTACTGTAAAATCTCCAGTCAGAGGTGGGATTTGTCAGTTCTCTGAACTACTCAAAATTTCTGCTACCAGTTCTCCAGAACCTGCTGAATACCTGCTGAATACCAACTCTGCAGACAAGGTATGTTGCCAAAACCTGTTGGTGCTAGAGGAGAAAGGCCTTGGTATAGGCGGAATACAGCTTTTGTAGGTTAGGGAATTAACAAATATATGTTTATCAAGGAGAATATAGGCATCCTGCATTTTGTTACACTATGTGAGTGGAAGGGAAAGAGAAGAGGATGACCAGCAGCAAGGTACACGATGTTGATGGATGCACCAAAGAAAGATGAAGGACCACACCAGTGATGGGATTCAAATTTTTTTTACTACCCGTTCTGTAGACGTGGTTTAATGGGCGTGATGTGAATCAGGTAGGTGTGATTTGGTGGGCGTGGCAGGGGAAGGATACTGCAAAATCCCCATTCCTTCCCCACCCCACTAACCTGCTTTCCAGCTCTGTTTTCCTGTGCAGGGCAACAAAAGAAAACCCAGCCGATCAGCTGGGACTCAATGGGAGGCAGAGAATAGATGGGGGCAGGACCAGTCAGAGGTGGTATTTGCCGGTTGTCTGAACTACACAAAATTTCCGCTACCGGTTCTCCAGAACAGAACCTGCTTGAATACCACCTCTGGACCACACTTGGGGCAGAACATCCTGGAGAAAATCTGTCTGCTTGGTTATTTAATACAGTAGTTGACACCGACTTGAAACCCAATGATTCTCAATGCATCTCAGAAACCAACCAGTTCCACATTATTAGATCCTGTCTTGTCCTGTGAAAGTTATATGAATGTTTCCCGGTAACAACAATATTAGCTGCCTGGCTGCAAGCTTTTGTTCTTTTCGTGCTTTTCAAAGATTCCCTAAAGAGAATGATAATTGGGCTGCGCGGAAAAGGAATTCCCCAGGAAACCTGGCATTGTAGATCTGATCTGCTGTGGACTCAGACCTGAACCTGCTGGCAGCAATCCTCGGAAGCAATAGCGCAGACTGGACTTTTGTTTTTAGGACCCCCTTTCATGAGGGTCTCCAATGTTTGCTCAGGACTCCCTGAACCCGGCAGCTGGAGGATGCCGTTACCAGCACACGAACAAAGCGCACAATTGAGGCTGATTAGAAGCATCAGAAATGTAAACAGGGAAGCTTTTCATCCCAAAGATACGGCTTAAGAAACAGGGAGGAAATAAGGAAGCTTTTCTTCCCCAAGAAACTGCTCCAGGAACGGAAGAGCTGCTGACGGACAGCATCACGCTAAATGGAGTGCAATGTTGGTTTGAGATGAGTGGCTACAAAAGTCAAACGGAGTTGGATGGCACTGGCAGCGACACTTCAGCAACCTTGACTTCCCAGGCTGCTTGAAAGGCCAAACGCTGCATAAATTAGCTAATTTAGAGGGAAGAGAGAAAGGCTGCTTCTGAAGCAAGCATGAGAGCGGGAAAGAAGTTAATAGGGCTGGGGCAAGTGCCACTTAAAGCATCATTATGGAAGCAAAAAGAGGGAGCTGGAGGGTGAGGAGAAACATGCCTGGGGAAAGAACTCTTCAGTTTAATTATGAGAGAGAGAGAGAGAGAGAGAGAGAGAGAGAGAGGGGGAGGGAGGGGGGGGGGGAGGGAGGGAGGGAGGGAGAGAGAGAGAGAGAGAAAACCAGGTACTAATCAATGATTCCAGTTATGTTGAAGGAATTTCAAAAAGATTGTGGTCATTGTAGTATGGAATCTCCTCCAGCTTCCCAGGAATAACAATTTAAGATAGTTTTATCGCTTGTCAGTTGCATCCATATTTTTCCACTCTGGCCAATTTCTTGCCAAGCAAGGCAACGTTTTCTCAGTAGGTGTTAAGGTCTCAGGTAGGATGATTTACTCAAGTGGTGGGCTTCTAATGCCAATGAAGAAGGTTCAGCAAGTTATTTAATCCCCGAGAAAGAATGAATCAGAATATTTCTCCTGTTCGGATCCCTTGCAATGAATGAGAGCTACGTTCTAAACCTGCTCTGCTTCTCACAAACTGAATTAAAACGGAAGCCCGGATAAGGTGTTTGTGCTGTGGAGAGGAGAGGTCCAATGGTTTTAAGATATGGTTGCAGATACTAGTTTCCCTCATAATGTGTGTCCCATTGTCAAGATAATCAAGATGCAGTAGACAATAGCAAACTTGCATAGTTTGAATCTTCAATCTAAAAATTCCCTTAAGCCGAGATCAGCTCCTTCCTGATGATTATCTGGATTAGTGTTTCTCAACATTGGCAGCTTGAAGATATGTAGATATGCTAGCTGGGGAATTCTGGAAGTTGAAGTTCACACATCTTTAGGTTAATTTCAGGGTTCAGAAATACTGATCAAGATGGATAAATTATTTGTTCATGACAGTAGTGCAAAAGTGATTTGTCAATAACGTCTTCCAGAAGTCATTTATAATACTATTCCATTCAATTACTACAGGACGCTGTGGTGAACTGCAATTTCCAGCTTGTTCACACAGAGATAAGCAAAGAGGTTGCCTGCAGATATATTTAGCTCATAAGAATATATGAGATCATCATCCCAAATAGTCCTGCACAGTGGCAAACTAGATGCATATGGGAAGTTCACAACCAAACGAAGACAACAGGTTCTCCCATTTCTGTTCTCCAACAACAAATAAAATACGTGATTCCAGAAGCACCATATAATAGATACTTAAAGTATGTGATCCCAGAAGCACCATATAGCCACCATATAGCCATAGTCCCTGATAGCCAGATACTTGGAAAATTTCTCCAGTGCACTTTTAAAATAATCTAAATTGACAAAATATGACACCATTTGTGTTATACAAAGAAGTTCCTTCTTTTATCAATGCTGAATCTCCCTGCATTTAGAGTCAATGGTTGACAAAGTATAGAGACAGAAGAAAAAAAACACCTTTAACCCCAATCCTTGGATTCTGCTCCTTGTATTTTCATATTCTTCATAGGCGTTGCTCCATATCTGCTTTTGCTTTAAATTATAAAATCCCTATTGCTATAGTTCTCCTCAAAGGAGAGTTCCATTTTGGCACCTTTTCCACATCTGCAGCAGGGTATGCTGATCAGGGTTTGAAAAAGTTTCCCAAATGTTATTACGCCGTATTTACTATACAGGTAGTCCTCGACTTACAACAGTTCATTTAGTGACCGTTCAAAGTTTCAACAGCACTGAAAAAAAGTGACTGATAACCGTTCTTCACATTTATGACCATTGCACCATCCCAATGGTCATGTGATTTACATTCAAATGTTTGACAACGGGTCCATATTTGTGACTGTTGCAGTGATTCCCTTTTGTGACCTCCTGTCAAGCAAAGTCAATGGGGAAAGCCAGATTCACTTAACAATGGTGTTACTAATTTAACAGCTGCAGTGATTCACTTAACAAATGTGGCAAGAAAAGTCACTTAACCAATTTCTCTCTTAGCAAAATCAATTTTGGGCTTAATTGTGGTCATAAGTGGAGGACTACCTGTATTCGCAATTTTATTTTTAATTTCTCTTATGATCATTGTGCATGAATTATCATGCCAATCTTGCTACACCACAGGTGATATTTCCATTTATGTTATCCTCCAAGACACCAAAGTGTTGTGGCCCCGATTCCCAAGCCTATGCTGTCAGAGGAAGAAGACCTGGAAGATGAGGAGGAACTGGGAATGCCTTCCTCCCCAGGGCCTTGCTCTCTGGCAATGCCTTCCTCCCTGATAATGCCTCAGGTTTCATCAGACAACCGAAAGGAACAGCCTGAGATTAATCAGGAGGAAGGCATATCGGAGCAGCCCCTGACAGGGAGTAAAGAGGAAGTGTTGGCTTGATCCTAAGCAGCGTCGTAGGGAGAAACGTGAGCAGCAACGTAGGTGTGGGAGGGTCAGAGAGTGAGCTGAGTCATTGAGCCACACCCCACAGGGGATAAAAGTGGGTGTGTTTTCGGCTGGAACTTTGTACGGGACAAAGTTTAATCTTACTTCAGATTTTCTTCGTGAATGATTTTTGTGGACTGCCTTGTAATTTTCTGTGAGTAGATTTTTATTTGTTATCAGTTTGGACTTGGCAGGCAGAGCGTGTTGGAATGCCAAGGATATAATCAGTTCCAAAGAATTAACTCTGTGAAGTCCGAGCCAGCTTGCCTGCCTGTGTTTGTGTGAGTTTGTATTCTTTCATCTTTTGGGAAAGAAGAAAAGTGAAACAGAACACCAAAGTATGTTTCCTGAGCAGTCAGAGTAGCTCGGGTTCTGTTAAGGCATAGATAAATTGTTTTTCTGGTTGTTTTTCTGCTTGCACCAAAACTGTATTACTTTGCAATTGTATGCCCAGATATCAAGTCTAATTCAAGATTTTGCCTATTCATAGTTAGCTATTAGCCTGCCTGGGTAAACAGCAGCTTTTCCAATAAGAGAACCTCAAAATACAAGTGTAACATTTAGCACAAACTATCCATTATAAATATTTTCATCTAATAAACATCAGCCTCTTTGATAATTCTCAGTAAATACAATAATTTTGTTTTCAGACATTTATTGCAAAGAAACATTTGGTAGGTGCTACCCTGATTTTTTTAAAAGTCACAGGTTACATTAACTAACTTTGTAATGAGTAAACAGATTGAACAGAGTGAAAAGTGTACACTGGCAAATAGAGCAAGGACTTTGGAATTTTGACCACAATCCGGATAGGACAGTTAAAATTTGTAGAGCTGTACAAAGCTTTGGAAGAGCACCTGAACTGAAATATCCTTGCAAAAGCCTCATCCAAGCAGATGCATTTTGACTTTCTGCACCTGAAGAAGTCCACTTGACTGGAGGCCTCAATCAAGGTTTAAGTGATGTCCTGATCATGCGGTCTAGAGCAGAGGGTCTCCAAACTTGGCAACTTTAAAGACTTGTGGACTTCAACTCCCAGAATTGCTGGCTGAGGAAGTCTGGGAGTTGAAGTCCACCAGTCTTAAAGTCTCCAAATTTGATCTAGAGATTATCTTCCCCCTGATTTCACTGGGATTTAAACACAAGTAAAATGCATACCCATGGCAGGCTGCGGGAGGTAAAGACAATGGATAAATTGGATGAAATGATCAGCGATAACTGAAAAGTCCATACGAAACTTTGAGATTGCCACTAGGGATTGGTCAAAATGGAGGACATTTGCCCAGATGATAATCAGGGCCAGACTTGATCCGATGACACTAAACTAATATATAAGAAGATTGTGTCGAGTACAAAACGGGAAAACACATTTGTCAATAAGTTAGATTTATCTGTAATAAGTTAGTTGCCTTGTAATACTTTATATTTTAAATACTATTTTAGTCAAAGATGTGTATTAATTCTTAATCAATTTTCCTATATGTTATAAATAATACATATTATTTATATTATATATAAATAGTGCATTTGTGAGCACTGGAAAATATACTCACATTTTCTATCCACAAAGGCACCATTGTTCAGCACCATTGTAATTTCTAATGGTTGTTGAACAAATGGTCATAAGTCAAGAACTACCTGTAGCTAGGACTGCCCTTAGGAAGCAGTTCGTCACATATAAATATTATGTACTATGAAAACACTTTCACATGTTCAGTTCTGTTTCATTCAACAATTCATTTGCTGGATACTTTTCTTCAATTTCAATCTCCTTAATTAACTAACCCTAACCCTCTATTCATTACAATACAAACACTGCAACAAGCAACTTCAATAGGGATGCCAAAAGGAAACTGGAAATTGCAGTCACATGATGTCGTGATTAATAAGCAGACACAATTCATTTAATGACTGCAGCCAGAACTGATGTTGTAAGTTGGCATGGTCCTTTACCATTTTCTATCATGTTTAACGACCGATTGTGGATAGCAGGTGAGGATTGCCTGTATGGTTTTCCCCTTTTGACAAAGTTTTTTTATAATGATCTGCCAGGATATCTTCTCTGCCCAGTTTTTGGAATGTTGCTTCCTTTACTGTAAGCATGTTTGCCATTAACAAAATATCCAAATAGCCACTACTGTTAATTTTCATACATACATACAAGCATACATATATACAAAATGTTTTGTTTTTTTAATTCTTCCATCCTCAGCTGCATAAACTCCTGAAGCAGTGTGTCCTGTTTCTGGTTTCAATTATACACTCCCAACACACAGTTGTTACGGAAATTAGCAATTTACTTAAAGTTGAGGAGATAACAGCAGACAAGGAATGCAGAAATAGAGCCTCTGAAAGAAGCTTGCCTGCGTAGGTTTACTTGAACATGAGCAGACAGAAGAACAGTCAAACTCCAGTCCAGAGTTCCAAGAGCCAGGTCAATGCTGTCAGCCAATCCAGAAGTCAGAATTTCAAGAGCAGAATTTTACACAAACATCACGCAAAAGCTGGAGATCAGACAGTTTATTCCAATGAGGGATAATGAGTTGCCTTGTAATCAGGCTGCAGCCAGCTGCCTTTGATCAAGAAATTTACTCCCTTGCTTGACAAGAAGACTCACTGAAGTCTGCACTTTGCTTTCTGCTCTCCTCACCAGGTATGGGGGCTTGGAGGCCTGCTGCACCATCTGATTGCTTCCAGCTATTCAGGTAGTGTCTATGTTTGATCAGCCGCAGGTAATTCTTAGCTTTGTGCCTACTGAGGCTAACATTTCATAGATTCTGCTGCAGCAGCTCATTCAAATTCAGACCCAGCCATGATGCAGTGCACCAATTTCCACAAGCATTGTACCATCGAAACAGTGGCAAATCCATGAAACTTCCCAATGCGGATGATTCCAAGGTGAGACATGATGCAATTGTCAACAAATATTCTTCTGATGCCAGCATCTTACAAATAAATCAGTAGAGCTGAATTACTTCTTCCCATTCATTGATCGGCCAGATTCCATTAGGCTGGACATTGGGGGGTGAATTTTTCCAATCCCACACTTTGACAGGAACCTTCCAGTCTTTACCATAATTGGCTTCAATATAGTGGAGGGTTTCACATGGCACATGTACCTTAAGTTCTAGAAACTCAGTCCAGCACAGGGTAAATTTGGGAAAGAGGTACCTGCAAAATGGAAGATAAGACAAGACAGTATAGGTAAAATATTACCAATGAGAAGTAGGTTATGTTCTTAGATTATTATGTGCAGACTGCATAAGCAGTATGCAAACTTAGTTTCTGCAGGTAATATATTATTATATTAAATTATTATGGAAAGTTGTTGAACAATTTATTCTAATTCTGCTGAGTTATAATGACAGATCAGAGCTATTTACAGCACCGAAATGCAATCTACAAACTCTCCAAGTCCCAAGGAAATAAATTCTTCTCCTTTTTAACCTTTAAGCAGGCATTTTGAAGTGCATAATCATGAGAATTAGAGACATTTATGTTGTTAATAAACATAAACATTTCAGGACACCCATTTCTTTAACCTGCTTCTGAAAGTGTTTTTATACTAACATTTTTACAAAAAAAATTTATACTAACATTTTTACAAGTATCTGCTTTGCAGACTGAATTGATTAAGCACACAGAAACAAAATTCTTCACTAATGATCAAACTTGAAACAAGATACAATCAATCACATCTTTGGCCAAAGGAAGAGGAACTAACATGGTGTCCCAGAAATTCCACCCATTCTTTGTAAAAACTTTTGTATTGATCCAAAGAACATCCATTTTCTCAATAATGTCATCTCTATACTTTAGAATAAAATCAAGCTTAGTACCAACAACTTTCTGGTTAAATGACTGGCCTTTTTCTTTCCCATTTCCTCAACTTAATTTATTCAGATAACTTATTTCCCTTCCCAGTTTAGTTACTCACAGAGTGGATTACAATCATTCAAAAAATATTCCCTATTCTAATACAGTAAATTGATCCAGCAACATCTACTGACACAACAAAAGATAAACACAGCTGATAGTTAAACAAGAACAGTAGTCCTAGATAAGACTGATGATAATCTGAAATGTTCAAATACAGAAAAATCTTAAGCTTAATTTAAAAAAAAAAAAAACAGTTCAGAAGCAGATGAATGTTCCTAAGTAGAAGCAAAGGGGAATAATTTCTAAGAAGCACTCATTGCTATTCACCATTCCTTGATTCCAAAAAGTGGGTTAGTGGGGCCTTTGAGGATTCCAAAAAGCTAATGTGGGAGACAATAACTTAAAATTTCCAGATGCAAAGCCAGTTGGAATCTTGCAGTTATTTAGCTTCTTGCCAGTATTTGAATTGTATTCAGAAATGGAAGTCTAACATGTTGTAGCAGGTTCTGCAAAGTACCTGCAGAAGGAGACACTGTGAAGAAGCAAAATATCTGGGGCTGAAAAATGTGAGCCAATGTCCTAATTTTTTTTTTTAAATAACCAGGCCAATGTTCTCCAAAAACCTTAAAACCCAATACAGTAGAAGCAATTATTTGTTGGGTAGTAAGCTATGAAAACAGATAGTTCCTTAGTAAGATTTCCCCTCTACAAACACCAACTCTGAGTCATACTTAAATTTCTTGCCCGATTTGGCCTGGGTTCCTCCATTCCACATGTGGTCATCCTCTTCATAGAAGAAAAAAATATCAAGCTTCACTTCATCTTCTCCTCCCTGGAAGGACAGCTCCAAACTATCTTCAAACTATATAGAAAGGAGGGGAAATGAACTCAAGACACAGATAATAAAATGGCTAAGCATCAAAATTATTGCTTGATATCCTTCCAACCCTGTCATTCTGAACTCTCAAATTTGAATATTTCCTAGCAGTATTTTGAAGATAAAAACATCTTAAGAATTAATAAAAAGCAGTTGAAGGAAACAGATATGACGCTTTCAACTCCCCAATAAATTTGGTCAGGAAGGGGAATCACTTAAGAGTGGCAAGATTATTAATTTTATGCCCAGCCTATTAATAAATATAACAGCAACACAGAAATGCAACAAGTCTTCAGCAGTTTTTTTTTTTAAATTTCTTTTCTAAATAAGCTGAACTAGAAGTTGAAGAGCAGGAAGTCTTAAATTTCTCACTGCTCATAAATGCTAATAAAACTAACGGCTGAAAAGTCAAGAAGTACAATAATTACGATAACAGAAGAGAAAGATGTGCAAGTTAGCTCTAGACTATCTCTGCATGATAACACAATTCAATATTTACAAAGTGCTGAGGGCTGCACCATTTGCCCCACTAGGGAAAGAAAAAAAGAACAAATCTCTATGTTTGGAGAAAACATTGCTTCTGGGAGAATAACAGCTGGTGAAAAAAAAGAATAATTTGCAAGAAAACTAATGCAGGGCCTCTATCTGACCGGGAGTGTGTTTTGATTTTGGAAGTTATAGCTACTTTTATGTTGAATTGCAGCACACAATCCTTGCACAGCTTTCTGTTTTGTTTCATTTATCCTCATAATAATCCTGTGATGTAGGTCAAATCAAGATCCTGATTGCTCCTAACTAATCAGTAAGCTTCAGAGATGAAAGGATCCAAAACCAGGTCTCCCACTCCCCATGATCCCAATGCAGTCTTCTAGCATAATGTTTTTTTTTCAAACTAGGCAATTGTAAGATGTAATGAACTTCAACTCCCAGAATAACCTAGTGAGCATGCTGGCTGGGGAACTCTGGGAGTTAAAGCACCCACATCTTAAAGTTGCCAAGTTTCAAAAATGCAGTGCTTTTATAACCTAATTATTCATTTAATATCTCAGACAACCTGAAAAAAAGGATTGGCAAGAAAGAAAAGTATGAGCCAAACATATTCCTGTATTCACCAACCTTGCCAAATTTGTGCTTTAGCGGTAACCCAGCCTTCTGAAATGCTGGAATAATATCTGGTTTGTAGTTTTGAATAAAAACCCCCAAGTCCAGGTCTTTACTGTAAGGAATAATGTTGCACTGTCTGTACCAACCTAAATAATACAAGAGATTCGTGAGAAATTTAATACACAATCATGCAGCTCCAACGTTGATGAGAAAAGAGGACAGAGTAATTAAATTAAGGCATAAAAAGTATACCCCAAAGTTTTCCATTCTAAGAAAAGATGGAGAATTCAATTTCTCCTCTAACAATCTGCTGCATTTATATGGTTGAGAAGATTTCATCCTCCTGTTACCTATGAAGGCAACAGAAGGACAATTTTACTTGCCCAACCTGATTAACCCTCTCAAGGCTGCTTGGGAAATACTTAAATTTAAGAGTTAATTCCCATTTTCACAAATGAAAATGGCTGGTTTCTTTCTTCTAAGACAGAAGTCATGTGGTTTACATATTTGGAGAGATTAGTTTCTTTATAATTAATGAGAGAAATTATATCTAAAATCTGTAAGTTCCCACACAGTTTGAAAAATCCAGCTAGAACCATTTCTGATAAACTAGATGCAACCTCTCCTTTCATGACAGAAATGTTCCAAAAACAGGGGCCTAATTTTTGCAAGTAACTTTATTTGCAAACACAACTCTGAGTGGCTAACATGTGAATATAATAGAAACATAATATTAAGAAAGAGTAAAAATCTACAGTAGTGCCCAAGATTAAACCCAGACAAAACAACTTTGTGGTGTCAAAGACTAAACCCAGCAAAAGCATCTCAACTGGCCATGTAACTTCCCGATCCCACATGTTGGTAAAATCATAATAACCTTGTAATTAATTCTTTCCTCATATTTTTAGTATTCTAGAACATTTTGGACAGCATTGTGTTTATAAGACACTGCAGTCCTGAATTCCATAATAGAACAATATCTGTTTGAATTACCTCAACTGAATGACATCCCCGCTCCAGGTAATATTAAAGGGTTAATACAATTTTTCAGTATTCTCTTATGTTTTTAAAAAGATACACAGAGAGTAACAGGGGCCTCCTTGCATCTTACTTTTCTGCAGATCAGGATGCAATTGGCATTTGTGAGCTATTTCATTTAGTTTAGATTAATCCCACATTAATGCTTTATTAAAAACATTATTTTCATACTTCCACCTACAAAACTGGTAAATCCTTCCCAGTGCTTCTTTCTAATTTTTAAAAGAAAAATTTTAAACCTGTTTTAAAGTGTTTTAAACTTGGTTAATTAATTATGTAAACCTATTTTTGCTCATATTTTAATATTAGTAATATTTTGGAAAGTCCATCTCTTGCTCCTGCATATATTTTACCTGGGAGAAGGTTTCACTGAACTTTTGAGCAGAGCTGCAGAAAACTATGGAGTTTAATCTATGACTTACAAACTATTTTGATGTATGATATTTTTCTTACAAATATTTAAATGACCTTCTGCTATCTCCACTATTTCACTGAGAAGTTTCCACTTTTTTCAAGGTCACCCCCGAGAATTAGGCACTATATACCAAATCAAATTAAGACACAGGATGTATCCCCTGGTTTATTTTATATGCAGAGCAATATGATCCATAAATTAAAAGGGCTGCGAGATGAGACTGAGAATGCCAGTGAATTCAGAAGTTTTAATTATACATTTAAATAGGTATGTAAGTCACATCATATAGTCTGTGATAATATACCGGTATCTGTAACAAAATCTACTCATTTATCTTCTGAAGCAAATATTTTAAAAGAGATTGGAAATCAAAACTCTGCCAATACATCATACCTGATGGTGAAAAGATACATATGCATATGCCAAACTCTTCTTGTATTGGGTTCAGATAAAAGCTCCTTGATCCCACACAAAAAAAAAATGTTTGAATTAAGGAGGCATCTGTAGCATAGCCAGATTTGTCCCAGAACACCATGGATCTCCTCTTGAATCTCCTTAACTTAAAAACATGATTTCCTGGAATTACCCAGCTTCCATGTGAGCAAGGAAATATGTAGCTTCTTTAAGGAAATGCAGGCAGGTATGGCATGCATCCCCACACTGCTCCAAAGCACCTTTTTGCCTTTGGGAATGTAATAAGGAACACTCCTACTTATGTAAGAATGTAATTAAATGAACCAACCAGACATGGACCAAGCATGCTGGATTATAACTACCAGTACTCCTAATCAACATGGCTCTCTAATTCATTTAAAGAGCGTGAGGTAAAGAAAACTGCATTCACGCAATGTTTAACTCATTGCAATAACAGTTGGATCTTGACGCCAAGAATAATATTTATAAAATCTCCCTGCCCAAGTATCAGTGGGGTAGAAGACTGAGGAAGGACTCTCTTGCACATACGTTTCTGGGGTCATAGTCTAAGACAAGCTAATTTTCATTCGCGTGCATTTTGTGCTTCCATGCGTTCGATCAGTGTGGTCTTCACACCCGGTGTATTTCTGCCATGTACACCAGTTTGATCATCTTGTCCCTCAGGCTCAACTGCCAGCATCGCAGAGAACACTTCTGGCTTCCAACCCAAATGCAAGTGACTTACCTAGGCAGGTCCCGCTACTCAGCCAGAATTGTACTCCTAAATTGTTCAGTGTCAGAGCAGAAAGATGCAGCAATGCCTTGGCTTTTTTCCTGAACTCCATTGCCTCAGGAGATGTATCATCAGGGTACAGCTAGAAAAGAAAGGAAAAGGCACTTGTCTAATCTGTACCTCAGCTTCCATGATCATTGTTTATTTTTCCTTACCAATATTTAGAATTCCCCCAGGAGAAATAAGTAACTGTTACAAGTAAAGTGGCTGCTAAATGGGAAACCACTTGAGTTCCAAAGCAGCTTCAAGCTGGAAAAAGACACAACTTGTCATTTCACCCCTTTCCCTTTTGTTTGCCTGATAACTGCTCCTTAGGAAGCAGTGCCTGCTTAATGTTTTATACACAACCAAAACAATGAGATTATATCACAACCCAGGGCTGGAGCTAAACTGCTCACTCTCTCGAAATCCCTTCCTTTTCAATCTCTCCAATTTGCAATTTTGTAACAGGAAAAGAAAAAATCACCAGTCAGGCAGAGAAAAATGCATGACTATAATGGCAATCACATGACTGAGGGACACTACAAAAGGCCATAAATGTGATCGTGTGGTTATAGAATTATTTGTTCAGCATCGCTGTAACTTCAAACGGTTGCTGAGTGATCGGTAAGTGAGGACTACCTGCAATGAATTTGTATTTAAATGAAGGTCCTTATTATTTGTTCTCTTGGAAAGTGGAAGAAAGGAGCCACAGGATCAGATACAGGCCCAATTCAAATGGGTGATGATAACCACAGGGGGAAGTTGGCAAACAATTTAAAACTCAAACTTATGGAGTCTTGTGTAAGAAAATCTGATACAATATGACATCTTTGGAATGAAATCAATTCTCTGCTTGTGCTGAAAAGCATTGGCAAGATTGAAAAATAGTCATTTGGACACTGACATGGGTGGTGTCTATAGACAGACAGACATTTAGACAGATAGAAAGATTAGCTTTGGATCTTAAAGTCCATCAAAAAATCGCCATTGCAATCCAATTTTCATCTTCACCAAATAATGCACTTTGCAATTCCCTTCTGCACTTGTAATAAGATAGCTACAAACTGTTACTCATATCTTAGTAAAGCACAACACAATGTTTAACCCACATAAAATCTCTCTTTTTTTTAAACGCAACTCTTCTTTTCTATCTTCCTGCTGTGCTCAAATGGTAGGAAAGTGTTTCTTGCAATGAAAGAAGCAGACTCTTTCATTGCTAGGCCTTCTATATTCATTCTTTGGCGCCATCAAGTGTCAAAGCCACAGAGCAAATCTTAGCAGTTAGTCACTAAATAGGATTAAGCATGGAAATGTGGCTGGCTGTTGGGCTGAAAAACTGAAGTACTGGTTGCCTAAAGAGGGAAAAGATTAATTCGATTAGGATTTCAATAAAACGATGGCCAATACTCAAAAAAACATGCATGTGTCTCAGGGCACCCAAAGGAACTGTGGGTTTGGCTTTCCAAACCTGGGAAAAATGGCTTTTTGAAAGAGATGAAACAAATTACAAGTAATTCACTAGATCCTAGGCTATGTAGTAAGAGAGCCAGTTGATGTAGTGATTAAGGCATCAAGCTGGAACCCAGGAGATTATGAGCTAGTACCCCCACAAACACAAAACCAGCTGGGTGACTCTCTTAACTGAGTCCTGGGAAGCAGGCAAAGGTAAACCAGAGATTAATTGTAAAAATTATGCTTCTCTGAGTTCCAAACAGTCATGAGACCAAGATTTCTGCCACTTTGCAGTGAAAAGCTAAGTGCAATATTAGTAGGTTTACAAAGGTATAGCTGGTAATTATAAGTTGATTAAGTCTACTTAGTACCATTGATTTGCTACAAATGAAAGATGTATCCACGTATACCTTTTAATTTAAATAACATCTCAATTTGGAACATTTGACAAGAATTAGCAAACATTGTTATTTTAGTTGCTGGGATGTGGAGGAGAAAGCTGACCATAGTGAAAATATTGCACATTTTGGAGGCAGTGTTGACAGGGATATAATGTCCTTTTTATCAAACCAATTAATTCAAACAAGAAATGATACTAACCTGGAAGAATGATCGAGCTTCTTTGTACCGACATTCAACAAATCGAGAGTGAGACCTTTCTTCGAGGAACTTGGACGGCTCTTTTGGAACCTGGACTATTAACCCATCAATGGAAAGAGTCAGTAATGCCATCCTGTTACAAGAAGCGGAAAATGATATTATCCTGACCAGGAGAATGCAACAGGAACTAGATATTTCCTTTTGAATTTGCATTAAGATGGCAAGCTAACAAATGCACCGTTGTTGTTCCTTCTGACACACAATCACAACTTGCATGTTTCACCATAATGTTTTGTCCATCTTAATCTGCTATTCTCAATCCATCCAATTCATTTGATATACACCTAACATAGGGCCAAAACGATTGTAACAGTTGGGTGTCAGAGCTGCCAATCAATGGAAAGCAACATTGGGTACCACCTCCTGGGTTCTACTCCAACAGGAAGAGCACAGAACAGAGAAATTTGTGGGACGAAGGCAGAAGGACAGATTTGAGGGTCGCTTGGAGTCTAAGTTTGGGAATGTCTCTTTGTGTCACTGACACAAGCCTGGCAATAATTTTAGAGACTGCTATGCACAGGCTATAAATAATTTTTAGAAATAAGTCAATTTGTTTTAAAAACCCATTTTTGGGGATTTAATAAAAACCAGTGTGTTCCTTATTCCTATATTAACTGTCTATCTGGTACTATCCTTTATCTTTCCCATATTCTCCCTGTTTGAGACTTAAAAGAATTTATGTACTCTAAAAAGGTTTTAGTGGTGGCATGAAAAGGATAATCCCTACTCTCCCTCCACAGTAGGGAACACAGCTATGATGCTTTAACAATTTATTTGAAGGTTGCCTCGAATGGGTCTGGTAAGATGAGAAGGCATCACATGTAACTGGAAGGAATATAAAATAAGCAGCTTTCCAGCTCATCAGCTGAACCTTCTGACAAAGGACACATTTAATATGAATGCACGACAACAATGCTAGCCCACGGCAATTGAACTTTGAATGTGTTCCATGATCGCAATGCTGTTAATCAGGTAACTCAATATAATTGCCTTAGTTAAGTGAATCAGATACCTTCACAATTTAGAAGCAGCTCATCCAAAGTAAAAGAAGAGAGATGCCCTACTTTACTTACAAGAGCACAAATCTCATCACTGGGGAATTGTGCATTTCTTTTTCCATCTAGGATGTATTGTGGGGTGGTATAGTGTCATTTTTCTTGTTTGATTCACATCCTCCATATTCAGAGGTGGGCCTTCTTTTGTTCAGAGGTTACCATAGTTTAAAGCCATTTTTCATGGGATTTCTTTGAGGGTGCAGTTCTTTTGTCTACTCTGAACTTGCTGTCAAAGAATGTTGTCAGGGAATTCTCATCTTTGCCATCACATAAGGAAGAGAGGAGGAGGAGGAACCTAATGGCCTCATTACCGGCATTAATCAAAAGTACAAGTTCACTTTCCTGGCACAATTTTCATCCCTTTTATATTCCAAGATGTCTGACTTAATCTCAGTCTTTTGGAAGCAAGTACTGTACAACAGCGGTGTTTTGCAAGAGGAGCCTTATCATCCTATACAACAACAACAACAACAAATACTGCCCTGCTGTTTCTTACTTGTCATAGGCTCCAGCGTAGCGTCCAAAGTGTAGCTTCTGGAAAGGCACAAATGCCCTGTCCATGTGTAGCTTCAGACGTAGCGGCCCATGCCAGAGGTAGTTGCCACTCCTCTCATAGAAGACGACTAGATGGATGGCATGAGTTGCCTGCTTGAAGATGTAATGCAGGGGGACTTCTGTTCCAGACAGATCCTCCATGCCTTCCAAACGTGGATCTTTACTCTGAAGTTTAAGCCACTGGAATCCCATTCTCTCAGCAGCCTGAAACAAGCCCACCTGAAACCAACATAAAGTTTTTGTTCCTTCATCAAGCCATGTTTCACCACACAGTTCCTTCTGGATTGAAATGAAAGCAAATCATGGCAGAAGAGAACCATCTCATGGCAATTTCACCACCCCTTTCCGAGAAGCTGTTCTTGAGCAAACGACTTTTTTTTTTTCAGTTCAATCAAACCTCTCAAGATAAAGTCAATAAGCCACTCTGGCAGAAATGAACCTCTATAATGGTCCAAGCAAAGATGTGTCATCTCTAAATGTTAACATCAAGTCCTTCTCCAAGAATTTTGCTGCTACTTCAGCAGCATATCTTGGATTACTGTATGACTTAACTTTCCGAAGGTTTCTCAGGAAATACGTCACCACAGATAATTAATTTCATGCCCATAACAGGGCATGGGATGGAAGCTACATTGGTCATCCTTGTGCAGATTTCTCAGTGGCATTCAACTTTGTTTGATCACAATATTCTTTTGGACTGCCTGGTTTTTTAAATAACAATTCAAACTGGTGTTGTGGAAGGAGACGTGAAACCCTGGAACACTTCAGCGGGCTCTCCATTTTGTTTAACATTTACACGAAACCAATAAAAGAGATCATCCAGTGGTTTAGGTTTTACCTTTCCACCTCCACCATATAGGAAATGCAGTGGAAGTCTTGACTCGGTGCTTAAAACTGTGAAGAACTGAATGGGGCAAACTATTGATATTCTGATTATTTCTTTTGATGGAGCTGTGTTTCTCTCGAAAGAGCTGGTACAGCTAGTCCCGGACTTACAACCACAACTGAGCCCAACATTTCTGTTGCTAAGCGAGACAGTTGTTAGGTGAGTCTTGCCCCATTTTAAGACCTTTCTTGCCACAGTTGTTAAGTGAACCACTGCAGTTGTTAAGTTAGTAACACAGTTGTTAAGTAAATCTGGCTTCCCCACTGAGTTTGCTCGTCGGAAGGTTGCAGAAGGTGATTACATGACCCCGGGACTCTGCAATGGTCATAAATGTGAGCCAGTTCCCAATCGTTGTAACTTTGACTGGTCTTTAAACAAGTCAAGGACTACCTGCATACAATCTAATACGTTTCTTAGAGTTAAGAGCAGGGCTGTAAACTCAATTTCATAGAAGGCCGCATCAGGGTTGTTTTTGACCTCAGGGGCTGGGGTAGGCGTGGCCAGCTCAATGTCACTCATGTCAGGGGCGCTTACGGTGGCCCCTGACTCTGTCAGCAAAAACGGGCTCCCAAACTCCATTTTTTTTTGCGATGGCATTCTGCAACCCTCTGCCAATGAAAATGGAGCTTGAGAGGGCTGCCTGCGGCCCTTGCGTGCTCTGTTTTCGGCTCCTGCAACCCTCTGCCAGCAAAAACGGAGCTCCTGAGCTCCATTTTCACTGGCAGAGGCACCAGGGGCCAGTTCTTTGCTTTTCCCAGGGCGGCCCTACAGGCCAGATCCAGCCCCCAGGTCTTGAGTTTGACACCCCTGAGTTAGAGGCATCTGCTAGAACAGCAGTTAGAAGCCACAGCAGAGTCTACAGTCTACAGCCAGCTTTGGTGAGCCTGCCAGGAATGTCTCTGAATCAGAAGATGTTGAAAGGAGTGATTACAATGTCACCATCCCTCAGACTCCAATTCACTCCATGCTCCAACTCCAGTTCCACACTCTTCATGTGGCTCACCTTAAAGAGAACCTGGAATTGGAATCTTACATGCTAGTGGAAAAGGTGGCTGCTTACTTGCCGATTGACATTAATTGTTTCAGGAAAAAAAAAGATTTGCCTTACCAGAGCTGCTATTGGCTGTCAATAAATTTCTGGTCCCAATACAAGATGCTGGTGATTACCTACAAACCCTATTCAGCTTGGGCCTTTGCTAGCATTAGGACATCTCCTGCAGACGGACTCTAGCCACCCTATTTCATCTAGTGTGGAGTGATTGGGGATGGGGTGGGGGGTGGGGGAATCAGACAATGACATTGTCAGGGGAGCCTTTCCCTCTGGGAATAGCATCACCCTGGCAATCAGATATCCCCTCCCCCCACCCCGATGTCCTTTAGAAGAATGTCAAACTGTCCTTTTTCAAAAGGCATTCAGGTGGAAGATCTTAAGTAAGAAGGAATGGCACCTTTTTATGTATGTAAATCATTTTATGTAATCGTTTTATTGATTAGTAAGTCTTGTTATCCTGTTTTTAATCTAGGATTTCGTTTTTGTAAGTGGCTTAGAGTAAAAAACAGTAGGGAATATACAAATGTGGGCAAAGAAAAACCCCAAACAGGCACCTTTATCCTCTATATCTCTGTACTGCATCCTATTTAATGACTGAAAACTTCAGCAGAGTTAGAGGAAGCTGGAAAAAGACATTTACTTCAAGTTTCCAGGTTTTGTCCAGTAGTCCAAAGGTGGTATAATCCCGTGGGGTACAGAAGTACTTGCATTCTGAGCGACTGCCATCAGAGAAGGTCTGAAGCTGCTCCAAGTCTCGGTCAATCAGCTCCAAAAGGAGAGGATCGATCAGATGCACAACTATGTTGTGGCTGCTCACCAAATTCAGAAATTTTCTCACCACATGCTGTTTAATTTTTTTTTAAAAAGGGAGGAGAGGAGAAAAAAAAACATCAGGAGTAAATGTTTGCTGAAAATCTGTACCAAAATAATAATACAGATATAGTCCTCATCATGCAAAAATAATGGAGCCTGCCCATTATGGTTGCGTATTACAATGGTTGTAAAAAGGATCAGTCATGTGACAAATCAGATTTTAGAATTTTTTTTCAATGGTTGTTAAGCAAACAGAGGTCATTAAGCAAACAACACGGCTGTTAAGCAAACCAATGGTTCACTATGGGCACTGTTTTGCCAAAAACCAAAGTGCCAGGTTTTGACAAAACTGTCATAAAAATGCAGTGATGTGACTGCCAGTTGCTGCAAATGGTCTTACATGCAGCCATGTTCCCGAGTGCTTGAAATTTGGTTATATGGCACAGAGGGGGCTCAATCATTGCAACTTCAAATCTAGGTTGTAAGTCCCCTTTTTCCAGTCAGTTGTAACTTCAGTCACGAAGCAACTTGTCATAAATTGAGGACTATCTGTAATAATTTGTAATAACTATAGCAATCATTCTAAAATCATGATTTTGATCATGAGCATCAAGGGATTTTGTATAAATAACTATAGTTAATGTAACAACGGCTATTGTAGAATATTTGTCAAAAAATCAAACTAAAGGTTTTTTTTTTTTTAAAGAAGCTTAAAAGTTTAGGATAAATTTGGGTGCCCAAAACCAAGGCTGGGGGCCTTTTCAGGGTAGAAAGCTGCATTCAATCTCCTTCAAGGTGCTAGGCATGACCCTTGAAGAAGTGCAAGTGGTAGACATTAATTCTTCATAAATGAGCTGCTATTGTTAAAATAAAAGTATAGTAATTTAACACAAGTTATGCAAATATTCCCCTATGTATTTAATATTCTTTGGTAATTATTATTTTACACTTATTTGCCTCACACTGTTGCCTTCCTCCTTTTAACTGAGTTGCCTCTTCCACCTCAAGCATGTTGTTTATGAGAAATAGTAAAATCAGATGTATTTACCCATTGACTATTGTCTTGTCCTGCTTTGCTCCCTTTAATCTTGGGGAAAACCGCTCCATTCTAACAAAACCAAACAAGAGAAATAAAGCTCTACACCTCCAGTCTCAACCGTACCACAAAATTATAACAAAAAACAGAGCTTCATTGCTTTTTACTACCAAGTAAGTATACTTCAGAATAACATTTGGTATCTCTGTCTTCTGTAAATGATCTTGTGGGTTGCTTGTTTATTTTGTTCTTGCTAGCATATTTTAAAACACTAGAAGCACTTGTTTAGATCTGTAAATCTGGGTTTGTGTGTAAGTAATAAGAATCATGAAACGTTACCTTTGGAGAGAGATAATATTTATAATAGTACAACTGGAACAGGAGAAAGATTGAACTGGTCAAAGTAAGAAGGCCCAGTACTACGTTTTTGTTAATTCTCTGCATCGGTCATTTGAACCCTCCTGGTATTCATTAGAAAGCAGCAGTTGGTGCTTCTCATCTTTTTAGATGGCCTATTGTGAGTTTCAAAACTGGGAAAACATAAAAAAAATGAATTCAGTTAAGAAGTTATAATAGCTTTTTCAAAAGCAAAGCTGTTGTTCTTCTATTTAAATAATTATCCTACCACCTAAGTTCTAAGATGCAATTAAAAACTCATCATTCAAAATTAAAAAGTTATTTTATTGATTCACAGATGATTCGGTGTAGTTTTATTTTGGATATTGCTGTGAACAAGTTCATGTCTGCAGCAACAATGCCTTGAAGGTGTCACCAGGCAAACTTCTCTGAGAAGGACATCCCATAAGTAAGATACCTTCTTGCTAACCTTTTACCTACGTTCACCTACTCATTTTGGGAGAAGAACATTATCTCAAATCATTTCTGCGAGCATGTAAAAGCAGATTCTCAACAAGAATGAACTTTGGGTCCTAGTAGAGGGAGCATTTAATTTGCTGGTACCAATTTCAATATCAATCTCGAATCCTAAAGGAGATAGGCCTTGTCTTTGCAATATTCCTGGAACACTCAGGCAAATTGCAGATACAATAATCCAGTATGTCATTGTGGTTTTTCGTGATATGACTGTGATTGTGTGGTTTGAGTTTGATTATCTTTGGTGCCATGGCACTATTATTGTGTCATTTTTGTTTATTAGTATTATTTTTATTGTTCCTTGGTTTTAATTCCTGTTCACCACCCGGAGTGGAAATTATGAGATGGATAGCAATATAATTTCAGATTAGAAACTTATAAAATGAAGTAGTAAAACAAATGTTTACTGAGACACCTGAATGGGCAGCATAACATTTCTCCCAAGACAGCAGAGATCTACTATCAGGATCTGAAGCATTCTAACCAGAAGCAGATTACATGAACTAAATGGGTTCCAGGTGAAATAGAATCAACTAACAAATGGAACACATTGCAAAGGCAGATTCCATTTTCCAAACTCCTTGTGTCCAGGTACTCAGTCACACACATAATAGTAAGCAGACTTGTGCAATGTGAGAAGTGGCTTTGATCCTTACACTGACTCCTGAATGAAGTTGAAAGTGGAGAAGCCTTCCTGAAAGAGATGAGTTTCAGTCTGAGTTAGACATACCCCAACAGTTTTTCAATAGAAGAGTGTTAGCTGTTTACTTAAAACTTCCTTAATTTACTGCTTATTACCCAATGCTGTTTGTAATATTCCATTTCCCCTCACATATCAAAGTTTTAGTTTCTTTGAAGGAAAATTCAAACCTCACAAAATAGACTAAATTTAGTTTTTTCCCCTTCTTCTTCACATCAACTAACAGAGGCAAAATACTTGTGCAGATTCTGGATACAAATGTGCAAATGTGACTACTACTTATTTGCATATTCATAATTTTCTGGAAGATTCCTGCTAGTGCTTGAAAGGACAACTTTATACAAACAATGAGCATAAGCCAGTCACTAGTGGTTGATTTGTGATTCAACCGTATGCCCATGGAATGACTGATTCTCTTCCAAATATGGTTGTAGGCAAAACTAAATAAGAACCAAGGAAGCTTGATATCGGTAGGCGTCAATGAGACCGCAGTCTTTTTAGGTGAAATGTGTTATCTGCCCTTTCTAAATGAAGTAAAACCCTAATACGACATTTATGATGTTCTCCCTACCTCTCTTCCAATCCTGAAAAATTAAACACGCGTGAGGAAACCCGAGTCTTCTCCAGATGCCCATGAACTACAATTCCCAGCATCCTTCACCATTGGCCATGTTGCACCAGTAGCTGGAGGGCTACCAGTTTCTTCTTGCTCAGGTTGAGACCGGGAAGGTTTCGGGGACGGAAAAAACTGCTAACGCGAGCGCCTTAAAACGTTTATTTTCCCCGTCGTGCTAACATCTCTCTTTTTGGCTTATCCGTTTAAGGCTGCGTGCGGAGTAAAATGAAGGCAAATAATACGACGTTGATGCCCTTACCTGCAAGGCGGGAGGCGAAGTGGGGGAAGACCGTAAGACGCAAAGGACGGGCACTTTTGCGGCACTTAGCCACCGAAAGGCAAGGCCGCCGCGCTTTACGTCAGCTGCGCCTTGCAGCGATGCCGGGCGAGTGGCGCGAAGACAGGAAGAGGGGTGTGGAGGGGTTTCGGTGTGGTTGTGGTGTTTTGTAGTGGACGGCTCGGTTCGCAGCGGACGGGGGGGGGGAGGAAACAGCCTCACTCTGAAACAGAGGCTCTCTTGCCACTCTTCCCCTCCCCCTTTAAAAATAGGTTTTTAATTTAAGGCTTCATTTAATACGCAACGTCCCCGCGTTGCAACTGGCGCTGGACGGTTGTTTTTTTCATTTTGCAGCTTCACGGGTGGCGGCGCCCTGGTGGAGACATCAGTGCAGTTGGGCAAAGGAAGACTGGCGCTAGGCGAAAAGACGGCAATGGAAAAAAATTTCCAGGACTATCGCATGGCTGTTAGGAAAAAGCGATTTGCAGATTTTTTTTTTTTGAAGAATGTTGATCTTCAAGTAGGATTTTTTTAAAAAAAATGAAGACAGGGTGATACTGCAGTCAAGTGCATTTCATTAATTTCCTCGAAGCAGTGGAAATCTTATAGTACTGTATAAGCTATCCTTTAACATATCTAGAAGTGTTTTTTTTTAATTTAAGAGAGATTTATCAGCTGGAATATCTTCAAGAAACTGATATTGGTTTATAGTACAAGGAGTCTTCGGCTTACAACAGTTCCATTTAGTGACCATTTGAAGTTACAATGACACAGAAAAAAGTGACCACCATTTCAATATCCCTGTGGTCATGTGATCAAAATTCAGATGCTTGGCAACTGGTTCATACATATGAGTTACATATAAAGTCAATAGCTAAGCCAGATTCACTTAACTGTCATTAACCTAGCAACTGCAGTGATTCACTTAACTTTGGTAAAGGTCATAAAATGGGGCAAAATTCACTTAACAAATGTCTCACTTAGCAACAGAAATTTTGGGCTCAATTGTGCTCGTAAGTTTAGGACTACTGGTAGTTGTATGATGATTAGGATTGCCCAACTATGGAGAAGGAAACGGCAGCGCTGCACCAGCCGGGCCAAGAGCTTCTCCTTGCTCCCGCCATGGCCTCGCAGAACGATCCTGGCACTGTCGCCTGCGCCCCCAGCAAGGCGGCTGAACCCAGCGGGGGCGCTACCTGGGGCTCCGTGCGCAGCAGGCTGCAACAGGAGCTGATGACACCGATGATGTCTGGAGACCACGGCATCTCTGCCTTCCCGGAGTCGGACAATCTCATCTATGGCGTGGCTGGGACGGTCTACGAGGACCTGAGGTACAAGCTCTCCTTGGAATTCCCCAGCAGGTACCCCTACAACACTCCCACCATCAAGTTCCTCACCCCCTGCTACCACCCCAACGTGGACTTGCAGGGCAACATTTGCTTGGACACCCTGAAGGACCAGTGGTCGGCTCTCTACGACATCTGGACCATTTTGCTCTCCATCCAGAGCTTGCTGGGAGAGCCAAACATGGAAAGTCCTTTGAACAGAGGCTGCCGAGCTGTGGAAGAACCAAGCAGCCTAGAAAAAAACACCTCCATGAATCCTACCAAAAACATATGAAGAGCCAGGATACCTGATGTCCTTCCCAGCCATGGACCACTTTGCCTGGGTGGGGAGGGGTGGGGTCTCTTCCCTCTTCTGTTTCATCCTTGTATTTTCTGTGCGTCGCCTCTATTGTATTATAGGTCATTTTAAAGGTTATTTGGCTTTTCCCCCCCTGGTGTTAATGTATAAATAAACGTTTTTTGTTTTGTTTTTTTTAAAAAAAAGGATTGCCCATCTACGTGATTATAAAAATAGAATGTACCTCATCCCACTGGGATTTGCCCACTCCACTCATGCTAGCAGGTGGCTTCATCGGACAGGTATTCCGGTGGGTGGGTGCAGAAGAGCCTTCTCTGCCATTGCACCTGCCCTTCGGAATATCTCCCCCTCCCCAGGAAAGCCGGCTCCAATATCTTCCTTAAAGAGTTTAAAGACTACCAGTTGGCTTGGGGCTCCAGAGGGGCTTCGTGATGGAGGTGATAGTTTAAACTTCTCCCCGCCCCCAATTCACTCCCTCCCCATCTTTTTAGCTATTGTATTTTGTATTTATTTTTGTACATTTATACTTTTGTAATATATTTTATTTTTTAATATTGTGAGCCACTCAGTTATCCTGTGACAAGATAGGTGAACAATACATTTAATTAAATTCCTCAGTGCATTATATCCATGACCATTTTCTGTTTTGTCCATAGTTAGATTATAATCGAAGGCAGTATAACAACAGAGATGGCCGGCCATATTAAGAGCTTGCTAGAAAAATCCAATTGAGCAGATTGGACTTGTTCAATTTGAGGAGAGTATGAATGAGAACCATATTTACTCATACTGAAAGTCACCAGTTTTGGAAATTTCTATTGACTTTTTATAGCATCCCTTCTAACATGAATTCCTCTAAAAGGTACAGCAGTACAGCACTGTGAACAATATCATAAGAACATTGTTAACTTCTTCCTACTATCACTAAATGGTAAGCAAACTTGAATCTGATGAAGCTTCTCTCTTCAGAGAGCTACAAAGGAAATTTGGGCACTATTTTCATGTAATTTGTTATGTTTATAGCCTGCCTTTCACTCAAGAGGCATGCATACCATTCCCACCCCCTCAACAACCAGGTAGTTTTGTCTGAGCAGGTGTGGCTGGCCTAAAGTTGCCCAATGAACTTCCATGGCTGAGTGGACACAAATGTGGATCTCCGGAGTACCAGTCTAACCTCTTCACTACACCAAACTAGAATTTTATGCCAGAAAAATAGTTCATCCTTAAAGATACTGATGTCAGTAGCCAACAATAGTTTTTTTTAAAAAAGAGAGAGACTATAAGACTGGTTTTCCAATGTTTATTAATACAAAATCCCTCCGAGATGTGATTGAGTTAAAGACACAGCAAATAAAAACACTCAATGGGCTCTAAGGCACCCAGTGTGGTTGGGATGAGGTTGTTTTTGGATAGTTTCTCAAGGATTAAGACTAAAGCACCGAATGGAAGCAGAACCATCAATCCACAATATCCTTGTTTAGTAGTAATAATATGCATTCTAATCTCAGCATCTAATACCATAACCGACAGCAGAGATATGGACCTAGTTTGAAAAGGCACGTGCAGAACTGTTTTATCAGTGGTGAAAAAAGAAAAGTCAGCTTATAGGGCAAAACCTTGAATACAGTGTGCTCAATCTGTTTACTGTCAAACGCCCCAAATGGCTATAAGAAGTTAAGGTCAACAAGTGTGAAACCACCCACAGAAGAAATGCTACTGTACCAAATTATAATTTGCATAATTCAAATGTCAATATTAATAACAATGATTTGCTTCAAACCTGCTCTCCTTATGCATATCCAGAAGCAAGGCAGGGAATAGAGACAACGGTTCACTAAAAAAAGGACTGTTTCTACTTTCCTTAGTCAGTTATTTAAGTCTGTGATATTAAACTGAATTCCTAGCATCTGTCTTATATCATAATGCTGTAATATTTAAATAATACTAAATTAAATTCTCATCCATAATATTGTCCATGTGGCTCAGGCTTTAACCTGTTTTGACAATAAATGCATATAATTTGACATTTAACTTTAAACAACTATTCGATTTCTAAACTAGTTTACAAAATTTTGGTACTCAGTTACTGAATGAAAATTCCTAATTTTCTGAATACCAAATCAGCAAAACTGATTTCCCATAAACTTACAAAACAAAACTATTTATAATACAAAAATACATTTTACAGACAGTAAGCAGACAAATTATGTACAACATACTGGAAAAACACTATCCATTGTTATGATCTAGCATTCCGTACTCAAAACACAAACTACAGTAATACTTTCATTCAATATCTGCATGCTTGCCATCAAGTAGAGCTGATCAGAAGAATTATATTATCTTTTCAAAGTATTTTATAAGTAAAGAAAAAGTGTCTAAAGTGCTTAAAGAATCTCCTCTTGTGTCTTACTTTATTAAACTGATAGGGATTACTTTTTTGACCATCAGAACTAAATATCCCTCAACTATTTTACAGTGTTTATTTTCCTTAAAATAGAGATAAGAATCGTGGTTTTTTAATTCATTATTTTTGAGATGCATATTAAAACCTCCAAACACTAGCACTGTGGTGGAATAAAATAGAAAGCAGTTGAGTTGTGGAATATTAATGTCTGAATAATTGAACTGACAATGTATATATCACACTGCATACGTACCTCTCAGTAGTAAATGATCAATTCTACTTTTTAACAATGGCATCATTCAAATTTCCACAAGATTCAGGCTAATTTGGACCATTTTTCACCTTTCCAAATGTGAATAATATTTTTTGAATAATACTTTTATTCCCCAGTGGAGTTGGCATTTGATGTTCAAACCAGTTATAAGAAAAAGTTTATTTCATAAGTCAAATATGCAAGTAATATATAATTGAGATTAAATACTCTAAAAAGTATCACAAATACAGGGAGTCTTGCCTATAGAATATTACATTGTAAACAATTCCTTACATGATACATATTTTTTTCTACATAACTTTAACTTGATTCAAGTTGGTTGAAAAGGGGAACTGTCAAGAAGAACCTGAGAAAAACAATGCACAGACAGTTCAACTGAGAACACCCACTCCAAATTTCAAAGATTGCACATAGCTATTTTTTTCCAAACAGGACAATATGAATGTGTTTTGATATAAAACTCACTTTTCTTTACACTCTTGTGAAATTTCTTAAAAGACCCAAGAGATTTACAGAAAGTTAAATATAGACAGTGTATGAGGGAAAAAGGATAAAATTTTGTAGGGCTAGAAGCAAATTTGATCATATACTCCAAGCTTCGGATAGGCCTCTGACACAGAATGGATTCTTAAAGATTCAGAAGTGCTTCGTAACCACATTCATATAAAGAGGCCTGATAATTGAGAACATTTACAAACATGAATGAGAATGAACACATAATAAAGAAACAAACAGAAGCTTCTCTAAAATTCATTAAGTTAAACTGATTAGTTGTAAATATGTACATTAGTGAAATATAGATGACAGCTTTCATTCTGTAAAGTAATAGACACAAAGTACCAACATAAAATTACTTAGGATGAATAACGAAGTTAAGTCTTGGAGTCTGACAATAAAAGAGCTACACTGAATGAAAGGACAATAATCAAAACAATTCATGTTCCTCCCCTTTTCTATTTGTGGACATTTTTTTCTGACTATTAAAAGACTCCCATTTTATAAGTGTCAGTATTTAGTTCATTTTCTTATAGTTTAAACCTAATTATTAGAAAACCTAAACAGGAGAAAAGCAGTGGGGGTGGGGTGGAGGGAAGTTATACTAAGGTCATACTTGTCTTTGTTACACATCATTCAGAATTAATTATCAGTCAAGCAACCATAAGACAAGTAGTCATGTTTAGTCTAAGAGAAGCATACAGCTATAACCTGATATTCCTTTGTCAAAGCCGGTTTTCCTATTATACCACAATACATTCTTGCTAATACTTCAGGAGAAGCCAGTTTCAATACAAGCATTTTGCACTAGTGGTGGTCAGGCATTGGAAGTAGCAATAATGCATTAAATTGTTCTTTGATCTTATTGTAGCTGTTACCCAGGAACATCACTGGACAACATTGGTTAGACTACCAGTGGAACCACTCAACCCATTTTCACTTTTCTGCAGTGTTTTCACAGCTGTTGGCACTTGCAATCCTGTTGTCAATGTGAGCCCACCACACCAAACCTAAAAAATTAAGATATGAAGAACAATGAAAAATTATCCAAGCTTTCTTCTTAAAAATAAAACAGATTATCACTACAATCATATATTTCCCACTGCCTTATTATGGCTGTTTCACAATCGTGCATTTTCTTTTTAAATTAGTAACCAGACTCAACACTATGCTCTAGCCCTAAGCTGTACTTACAATATTAATTCTGGTATGCTGAACCAGCCAACTTCAAACTACACTTTGAAGATGGGTTCTTTCAATAAATCATGGCACTGTGCTAAAGAATAATACACAAAAACTTTCAGCCCTCACCTTAGAATAATAACTCAGTATAGCTTGTTCTATCATGGCAAACCATATTTTATCTCACATTTATCTTTTTATTAAGAATTGTTAATGATTGACATGTAAGACACATCAGGAAAAACACAGTATTATTTTAAAACTGAGTATACTTTTTACACAAGATAGATGCTTCATTTGTTAGAAAAACAACTTGTATCATATCAAAAAATGTTCTAATGAAGTTTTTGAAAGAATGGAAACAGAAAATGGCAAGATGCAACTTAACACCGGAACTAGATTTGACTGTATGAAGTAGAATAAGCAACATGAACTTGTTGTCCATCTTTGCCCAATTTTTGCCAGTTTCTCTCTCATTGAAGTCCATCCACTATCTCTTATTAATTTCTTCAGAATTTCTCAAATTTTAGAGGAGATTGTCCAGGGTGGAGAATATTGTATACAATTAAAAGAATTAATTGAAGTAGTAGTAATTTAATCCCCAATTAAATTAAAAGGGTTTGAAATTTTTAAATTTAAGTTTTAAATTATTAAAACTTTATAATTAAAATCTGTAATGGGGAAGACAAGTGAGAACTTCTTCCCTTTTACAAAAGTGGTTTTCTGTACAGATAGACTTTACAGAAAGAAAAACAAGAATGTATATACTCAGAAC